TAATAGGCTATCCTACTGCTGTCTACTCAATACTAGCATGCAATTCTCATAAAGCTGGAACACATATAGCAGGCACATAAGGTATCTTCTTAGATCCATAGTCCTATTCTAGCATGTTGTTCTACTGAAACTGAAACAGATAATCATAACATAATCTTGTATGGGTAATTTGGGAGTACTTACTTAAGCTCGGCTGATCGCATGCACCACACCCTTTTCTCATTTTCAAAACTCTTTTCTTTATAAGTCTTTTCCTCAAAATTCTTTTGAAAACATTTTTCTTTCAAAAATCTTTTTTCTATTTCCCTTAGTTTGAGTTTAGTCACACCCGTAAGTGTGCCCGAATCCCTCAAACCAAGGCTCTGATACCAACTTGTAACATCCCAAAATATGCCCAATTTTTTTTTAATCATGACTAAATCATTATATCAATATCATAAAATAAAAACCCATACGTCAATATCTCAAAACCATAATAAAGTATCATGAGAAAACTGTATCAAGACTGTATCAAATCATATCTACGAAAAGTTGAATCGACTCCCAGGATAAAAACTGAAGCGGTGGTGTATGCGATGCCATCATCCCGAGATTTTACCTTTACTTTGTGGAAGTACCTGAAACCAAAACTGAAACTTTAAGCACGAAGCTTAATGAGCTCCCCTAAACTACCACATACTATACAAGAACATATAAAGCACATACTAGGCCTTGCCCACTACATTGGACCGAAATCCAAAAACTGCATCGGACCAAAGTCCGAAACTAACCAGGGCCTCGCCCTCTACATCGGACCGAAGTCCAGAAACTACATCGGACTGAAGTCCGGAACTAACTAGGACCTTATCCCCTGCATCGGATCGAAGTCAGGAACTAACTGCATCATACCGAAATCCGGAACTGACTGGGACCTTGTCCCCTGCATCGGACCGAAGTCCGGAAACTGACTGAGCATAACATAGCATAACATAAACATATCAACTAGCATAAGCACATATACTGCATACTCCATCGGACCGAAGTCCGGAACACATAACACAAAACATGCTTGAATCACAAAGACATCAAGCAATCTAACTACTGCATCGGACCGAGGTCCGGAACTACTGCTAACTAAACGGGCCAGCATTGTGGTTGTAGACCCGTTCCTACTGGAAGGAAACACACCTCGTAACGTTGGCTGCTGAGGTGCTAGATCTGAGACTGTCTGACTGCTCCTCCGGAACTCCCCGACTACAAATCCCATAAACACTAAATCAAATACTGATAACTAATCTCAGGGTAAAATAACTATTTTACCCTTGGTCAAAGTCAACTTCCTGGTTAAAGTTAACTTCCTGGTTGACTCTACTCGCCGAGTCCTACTATGAACTCGCCGAGTTCCCGGACTCACACTTCTCTAACTTGCAACTCGACTCGCCGAGTCTGGACGTAGACTCGCCGAATCCCTCTACTTCTGGATCCTTTTTCAGGAGGGTTTGCGCTCCGACTCGCCGAGTCCAAGAACAACTCGTCGATTCCTATGCATGTCCTCACTAAACAGTTGATTCTAATCGATTCTAGTGCATCCAATTCATAGATCTGAGCTTCTAGGGCCGATATAACACGTAAAGTTGCCAACTTTACGTACATGCATTGAGGTATGAAGCTAAAACACCAAAATAAGCTAGAAATGGGAACCTAAGGTTTGCAACAAGGCCTTGCTTTGCATAATGGTAGCTACTTTGAGCTCCTGGGGCTTAATGATGTCAAGATCTATAGCTCGCTACCCTAAGGGAGCTCCAATCTCGAGTTTGGACCTTGAAATGTCCCAAAAGTGGAAAAACAAGCATATAAGAAGATCTACTAGGAAAATGGACAAGGTAGAAGCTTTATTACCAGATGAAGTAACAAATGGAAGCTAGCTTCTGGATCTCCTTCTTCTCCTTTGCACCTTATCTCTTTTCTTCTCTTATACACTTCCAAAAATACACCAAAACACTCAAAATAAGGAAGGAATCACTCAAGCTCACCAATGGAGGGCTAGGGTTTTGAGAGGGAAATGCTCTAAGGGTGCTGGAGGCTGGGATGAGGGCTATAAGGATGTTTAAATAGGGTACAAAGCCTAAAGATTAGGGTTTCTCCAAACTGGCCTACTCGTCGAGTCTAGGTGCGGACTCGCCGAGTAGATCACTTAAAACCCGCATCCAACTTGGCATCTACTCGACAAGTTAGGAATACTACTCGCCAAGTATCTCTTTATAAAATACATTTAATGAATTAATACGAACCAGGAATGGGCGTTACATTTATAGTGCAGTCAGGAAACCCTAGATAAACCATAATCCAAGATAATCTTAAATCGGGTAATTATCCACCTTCTTGTTTATCTACTAAAGATTATTCTAGAACCCTTAGGCCATAAGAAACCATCCAATGCTCTACGGAGGGTTCTATATTACCTTTTGCTCAACTATTGAACAATTACAATTCAATCCCTACACTTTTAATTAATTCTTTTAATCCCAAAATTATTTCCAATTAATTTCTGTTTAAATACTAATTAAATGTTTCTAATTAATATATTATCTTCATAATTTATTAACAAATCATTTATTTCAATTTATTAATCAAATAATAAATCAACATCTTTCTCTAAAATCATCTTATCTAGTTGCTAGTCTTGAGGGCAACTCAAAATGACTGTGCAACTATCAATTTATGTACATACAAATTATAGTTATCGGCTTAGACACCTAATCCAACAATAACATGTTACTATCATACTCTTTTGACTATTTTGATAGTAATGTCATATGATTTAAATGAAATTAAAAACACAAATTTTATTCGTATTTTTGGGACATTACATAATGGATAAAGTGGTAAAATTTATCTATTATGAAGCTATCAAGTACCAGATCTAATGTTATAAGGCTTGATCTGTAAGGATTAAGCTCTTAATGAAGAAAATTTTTCCTGATCAAAACCACGACATGGCCAAGGAAGGCCCACAATGTGGTGGTGCACTGCAACACATCTGTTTTGTCTGGACGTGGCCACATTGCGGTTAATAATTCACCACAACACGGTGACCGTTGAGCGTTGACTTTTTTGATCATTTTGACTTTTGTTCAAACTTTGGTAGAATGGAGTATTTGAATGGTCTCAATTTGTCATTAGGTAGCTTGGGTTAGCTATTTTTTTGTTGAGGTAGCTGTTGAGCTTCTGTTAAGTAATCCAGGTGAGTCTTCTCATTATAATGTGCAAAATGCTAGATTGTCTTTGTGACTCTTGCATGTATGTTGGGTGGGGCCCGTTATGTATGTTGAGTGAGGCCTGCAATGCATGTTCGGTGGGCCCGTTATGCCAGTTGTGTGGGCCTGTTATGCATGTTGGGTGGGGTCCCATTATGTATGTTTGGGTGGGGCCGTATTAGTATGCGGTATCTTGGGTAACTCGGTAAGCTTCATGCTTACGGCTTTAAGTTTATATGTTGCAAGTATTTTATCAAAACAAGGAAAAGCAAGGCGTGATTGCATCGCATCCATTGGAGGTTTTGCACTATCGTTTTATGATACTCTTATGTCTTGTTTTGAAAACTACATTTGGAACTATGCGGGTCTTTTTATGAAATGGATTTTGGTTGGTTTGATTTATGTGAAATTAAAACTTTACTTTATATTTTAGAGACATTAAATTATGTATCTTTCTCGTAATTTTGTCTTTCAAAAAGTCTCCGGTATGTTTTCTCAATGGTTTGTCATCGTTATGCATATTGTAGTAAGGTTTATCCTTCATTTGTTCCTGGCATGATTTTCTCTTGCTTAGTGTAATGGGCGTGTGTAGGATTACCATGCTAAATTGATGCTAATTACGGATGGCGCCAATGATGTTACATCCTTTTGCCGATCGCTTTTAAGTGTCTCATGTATTCATCATGGTTGGTTGTAATTGGTTAAGGTTGATCTTAGTTGGGTCTTGACAACATAAACAAGACACCAGGAGTTATAACGGGATGCATCCCAATATTGCTTTTTGATGTTTAATTCAGTAATAAGTTGTTAATTACAACCGAATCACGACAGGAGAAAAAAAGATGATCTTATAGTGTGAATTTCATTCGTATATATAGGGGGTTCTCGGAGAGAGTGGGTACCTTTTTTTCTGGTTTTCAGTTGTATTAATTGATTTAAATATAAATTGTATTGTGTACTTTTATATTTAATCTATCTAGCATATTTGTACATAGGGCATGATTTCAGGGATATGTTTTGTGGTTAGATGAAGGTCTCTATCTGGTGTGTATATTCCTAGCCTTCTATCTAATCAGGTAGGTTGGGTAGTGGACTTTTTTGGATAGGTAACCAGGCTGCCATTTTGCTCATTTGCCAGGTCGGGTACCCCATGAACGTTGATTGCCTCATCAGGTGCTTTTAAAGACAGGGCAACATGGTACTTGACTCTTGCACTACAATTCAAGATCCTGATACTTCGTGATAAGGGTTAATTGAAGATAGAGTTCCCAAGTTTAATCATAAGGTTATATGTTCTATAGGGATTACTTTGATGACCATATCTAATTTTTATGCAATACTAGGGTTTTGTTAAGTGTTTAGTTATATATGACAGATAATTTTTTTGGTGAAAGTTATCTAAGAGTGTGGTATGTTATCATATTACAAAATTATTATTCATCAATAAAGAATTATTTTCAAGGGTATAAGGTATTTGCATTGTTCTTTACACTACTATTATTTGATTGTGTGGTAAGGTACCAACAAACTAAGTTTTATATATGATCATTGTAGTTGATAACTCTTTTTTATTCATATTTTTTTTTGTATACCGTGCATTTTGGTATTGAAATTAAAATATTGGACCATCATGAATTTGCTGCAAAACCATGATCCTATAATTTCAATGTACATCTAAATACAAGGGCCATTTTGTTAATTTTGTTTATCCAAGGGTTTTCAGTGAAAAGTTTCCGGTTCTAATACCCCTTTCAATGATTTCTTCATTACGCGAAGCCGACCAAAATCGCCGGAAACCCAAGAAGAAAAAAAGGGGTGGAGCAAATTGGAGCGATGGGAGAAGCCAATACATCATCAATCGACGACGATTTGCTCCTCAAGAACTTCTACGCCGAAGTGAGCGAGGTTGAGCGCGACAATGAAGTCGCTAGGTATCCCTTCTGACCTTTTATCTATATCTTTCCTGTCTTATATGTTTTTGTTGTTTTATTTCTCTAATTAATTGTACTGTTCACATTAAATTCTCTTGGTTTCGGAAGTGTCTATGGATGCCATGAGTTGTATTTGAAATTGAGGATAAAATGTTCTTAAAGGAGGAAGTAATCGTCGTTAGCAGGTGTTATTGATTATCATTTAAAACTGCATACATACAAACTAGTTGTTCGTTTGATTGGATAGGTGTGTGTATATATGTGTCCTTAGTGACATGTAGGATAAGTATAATGCGTGTTGAACACTGTAAAATATGCTAAATTCAACATGAGAAAGTCATTTAGAACCCTAAGTTGAACACATAAAACTTCTTTTTTGACCTCGATCTGGATTTGCATCATGATTCTGTTGAAACTGTCTATGGAGCTTCAACTGATACTATGTTGCATACTTGCATCAGAGATTACGTTATTACATATTAACAATTGAAATCATGAATGATGTATTGTGTTTCATTGCCAACCTCATTTAAGATTAGAACTATAACAAATAACAATGATGGATTTTGCCCAAGGGGAACAATATTTAATAGTATTCTAAAAAGCATATATTGGGGTGTTTCTTAATAAACATTCATTTGTTCTTTAGCATCATTTCTAAATAGAAGGGTAAAAAGGTCATTTACTCACATTCATACGGTTCGTTTAGTCCAAAAAAGAAACAACTATATGTATACAATACTACCTCTATAGTCTAGACAAACATCATGTTTTGTTTACTTCATGTCTAATACAACTTGAGGCTTTTATATCATTAATGACCTAATACATGGTTTTTGAAACAACAATTTTCACAGGATTCTTTCATGCTTTAAGCTAAATGCATTTGAGTATCTCAATCTACCATTCGATTCATCTCCAGAAGAAGTGAAAAAGCAATATCGTAAGGTGATAACTTTTATCCATATATTGTCTCCATCAATTAAGAATCTCATTTTGGTGCTTGAAAGTTCCTAAAATTGCCATTTTTGACACCTTTAATAATCTGTGCAGTTATCATTGCTTGTTCATCCTGACAAATGCAAACATCCCCAAGCAAAAGAAGCTTTTTCTGGTATGTATGATGAAAATTTTGATAGCTTTAGTTTCATTAAGGTGTTTTTTTTTATAGTGATGTTTCTTTTTTACTTAATATAAACAGATGAACTTAATAGGTTAAGTGAGAGGAGAGTGACTTTATCTATTAAGACCTCATGTTTTACTCTTCTACCCCTAACCAAATTCTCCTTCTTTAAAAAAAAAAATTATTCAAACTCACTCATTTTCTTCCCTATGAAATAAGATTTATCCCATTCTTTTTCCTACCCTTGTCTTGTTCCCAAGAACAGTTAGGTATTGTTACATATTCTTAATCATCTAGTTAAATTTTTTTCTATCATAATCATTTATAATTTCCATCTATAACCTAATATTCAAATAAACATTCAGTTATTATATAGCATTACTTCTAGATAGAAGGGTAAAATTGTCATTTTTCATTTTCAGATTGTTCATTCAGTCCAAAAAAGAAACAACTAAGTATCATTAGTCATTACAGAATTTGTGTAACAAAAGTTTGTTTATGCTTATTTGCCCATTATTATTTATTTATTGCTTGTTCTTTTGTTCATACAATAACTAAAAGTGACTTATCTTTTATGCAGCACTTGCAAAAGCCCAACAGCTATTACTTGATCCACAAGAAAGAGAGTATCTTGTAAACCAAATTAATGCAGCAAGAGGTTTGTAATAACCCCACATTTTTTATTCCTGTTCATGTGTTTAAATTTAATGTCTTTCTGTTGTATCATAGTGTATTTGTAAATTTGTAATGATTGTTCCACTGTATGTTTTATAAGTAGATAACAATTAATGTTGCCATAATCAAACAATATCTCTAAAAGAAGCTTTATGATACAAAATTAGAAGGAATTAGAGTAGCAATTGAATGTTTATGAGGTGTCTGACTTAACTTTTTACAAATTTTCCCTTGCAAGTTGTAATATATAAATTTCTTACTTCATTTTCTCATGATTATATTTATAGTCTACTTTGACTGAATTTGCAGAAGAACTTAGAGCAAAAAGGAAAAAACAACTGAAGAAAGACACTGCATCTAAGCTGAAGTCACTAGTTGATGAGGTAAAGTAAATAATTTAATTTCTCATTCATGTCACAGCTTCCTCTTTTATAACTATTATTTAATAAAAATACTGTTAAGTGTTAACATATTTTGGTTTTCTGAAAATGTAGATGTATGAAGATTATGATATTATATTCTTATTGTTGTTTGAGTTTTTTTGTAGGGAAAATACGAGCAAGAATACGAAAAATCAGATGATTTTCAGCTTCAGCTAAAATTGAAGGTCCGGGAACTACTAACTGACCAAGAATGGCGCAGGAGGAAAATGCAGATGAGGGTATATTTGTAATTAACCTATTCTTTATTATATATGAAAATATTCCCAATCTACTTTCATTTTTTTCTTTATTACAAATTTCTTGTTATAATATTATTTAGAATATGTCAAGAAAATATGGAATTTGTGTAGATTTCGGAGGAAGAAGGAAGATTGAAGAAGGATGAAGAAGAATCCAAAGAGATGTGGAAAAGAAAGCGTGAACATGAGGAGCAGTGGGAAGGAACAAGGGAAAATAGGGTTTGTATTTCAGTATTTGGATAAATATTATAAGAGTAATTTACACTAATGGCCCCTATGGTTTCGGTTAATTTGCACGCTTGGTCCCTACTTGTTTTTGTTATGTGTTTGGTCCCTCCTGGTTGTTTTTGTTATGCGATTGGTCTCTGTCTTACCTAAAAACACTATTATTTATATATGGAAAAATTGTGAGGTAGGTAAGGTAAGATTAAGGGGTGGGGTTGGGGGTGTGTTTATTCAACTAAATTAATAAAATCAAGGGCAAAATAGTCTTTTTAGTTAATACAGGGACCAAGTGCGTAACAAAAACAAACAGTAGGGACCTTCCGAGTTAAAAAAATAAGTTAGGGACCAAACGTGCGAATTACCCCAAACCATAAGGACCATTAGTGTAATTTACTCATATTATAATTATTTCAAAAATATTTCACAAAAATGACAAACACACTTAAGGAAAAAATAGAGTAATAACATTTTTGCTAATAAATGAGGGTTTGTTTGTCCCCATTTAACCCTAAATCGTTTTGGCTTCTTTCCTATTTGAACCAGGTTTCCAGTTGGAGGGACTTCATGAAAGGAGGAAAGAAGGTAATTTTTTTTTCTACAAATTTTCCTTTTTTTTTTTAAGTTGAAAAATAATTACAACATGTGTTAATTGTGAGATGTGCAGGTGAAGAAAGGGGAAATCCGGCCACCAAAGCTTAAGACAGAAGACCCCAACAAGTCGTATGTTCAAAGGCCTGTAAAACGAGGTTAAAGGGGCTTAAATTTCTCACGTTTTACTCAAAATATGTAACTTTACACTTGATTTAGTGGTTGAATATACAACTTTGTAACTTGGAATTGTTTGTAGCGCAGTATAAGAATATTGTATATTGCAATTTATGTTTGTTTCCTTCTTGTTAATATCGAATAGAAAGGGAAAAATCCCTAGTTTAATCTCGACAATACACACGATAAGATATATCCATAACATGAGTGGACCAATGTGCGTAAACTTGGGCTTTATTCATTTAACGAGTCAGTACATGGATGTCACTCATTTAGAGGTAATTATAATGTTTTCAGATAATGTAATATTAATATAATTTGTTTAAATATAGATAACTTATTTATAGATATAACATATATTAAATTATTTAAATGTTATTGTTGTAATTAATAAGAGACTCGACGAAGGTATACCTATTGCAAGTTTAACAAAAATTTTTATTAACGTCAATAGTGAATACCGTAACCAAAGTTCATGAGAAAGTTGTTCCCATAATCTTTACTTAAAAAGAGAAATGGGTAGAAAACTTTTGTCTACAAAGTTCATTATAAAAGTTAAAGTTGGCAAATTATCATATATCTGTAATTTTAGGAGTGGGTGTGATGCGTTTTGCATGGTTTTTAGTTGAAACTATACCGAAAAGTGCATAGATCGGTTTTTAGCTTCGTTTGGTTTTTGTGTTTGGTGCGCTTTGCAGTTTTAGCTATGGTTTGGTTTCAATGTGGTTTGGCTTGGTTTATAAACCGCAGTAGGTATGGTGTGGGTTTAAAACCGCAAGACGGATGAACTATAGTCCTGGTCTATTGATTTTGAAAGCATTGTGCGAAAAGTAAAAATAAGACCCTAAATATATATTTTATATATAAGCAATATCAGTAATATAAATCGATATATATTATAAAAAATTTTAAACCAAAATTGTTACCAATGGTGTGTCACTGATCATCGCTTAACTAAACGATATGGACCTTGTACGGTCGTACACCCTACACATAACCATGGTCAGTCCTTGATTGATTATAGTTATTTTTTTACGGTTATAATTAGTCAACCACATATATAAAAGGGATTTATAGCCAACTCAGCCCTTATTATAATCATATTTCGTAAGTTTTGAAACTTTGAAAATGAAGATCCGCTTCTTGGCTTCTCTTTAGTTAAATGTAATTAAAAAATAAAAAAAAATAAAAAAAAAAAAAGAAGTGATGTTTTATATATATTAAATAGGTAATCTATATTATATTATTATGTATACATTTACAAGACCATATGGTGTGGTTTGGCGGTGCGGTTTTCATGAGTTCTGTGCAGTAAAGAGTATCTGATTGTCAAGTTTTAGATATTGACAAAAACTAAAAACAGTTGACATCAGACAATCAAATTCTAGCTCATTCCTTTATTAGATTCGGGCTGGCAGTCAGTTCTTATTAGACTGAGACCAATGTCATTCTTTTTGTTCAGCTACCACCGGTTTATGGCAGGTCCAAAGACCGTTTCGGCAAAGACTAAAAAACAGATTTTATACATTTTTATGTAGGGATGTCAAAAAGTCATGTGGGACCCCAATCATGTATGAGGGGTGATTATTAAAAAAACTGGGACGGAGGCAAGGTTAACCCCCGTTTTAATTTCGGGGACGGGGCGGGATGTGTAGTCTCATCTCGAAACCCCCACGAGTCCCCGTTAATATGTTATATATATTTATATTATTATATGTATTAATTGTATAAATACTGACTTATTGTATCCATCAATCCGTGTAGGCATGTATCATGTATCATCTTTTGACGTAAATCACGTAATGAGTAAATGAAGTTTTAATTTTTTTTTTCTTTGTTGATTGATCCTTCCGGGTTCCCGCTTCTTACTCCGTCTGCGGTTCTCTACAGACTCCATCATTGCTTCACATTGCTTCACATTCAGTCTGTTGTCGATCCTCAATAGAGTGTCCATCGTCGACTCTTTAGTGTCGATCCCTTCCTTCCCCTTCATCTATTCATCAACGACACAGATTTGGGATTCATCTGTGTGCATTCCATTTGTCACCTCACTCAAGTCAGGTCCGTATAACATCTTCTGATCCTCATCTAATTAATTCATCTCATCATCTGTCCTTTACTTCATTATAACATCAATTATATGTTTGATTGAATACAGAATTAGACACTGATTCAAAATGGATGAAAGTTTGTCGTAGCCAGGATAAGCTTTTAAAAAATAAAGGTAGAGAGTAAAAAAAAATTCAAACTGATTGTTATCAATTTCTCTTCCATTTTGAACGATAAGATTAAAATCTTTCTTAAATTGATTGAAAGGTTTATTGTTTTTTGATATATCTTTAAAAATATCTTTTTGAATTCCAAAATAGTGATTTATTTTGAGTGTATTTAACCAGCATCTTGCAACAATCTGATTTATATTGTTACAAATGTTAGCTCGGGTTTGAACGCCTACTTTTCCTAAAGAAGAAAAAGCATATATTTTTTTTCTGAGTAGGATCATCAAGATTTTTAAGTCTAAATGATTACCATTTTTGTAAATATGAGGAAGGTCTATCTTACTCGGTTAGAAAAAATAATTTTTCTTGGATTAGAAAAAGAACAAGGAAGTCATCGTCTTCAAAATCATATGTTGGAAAATATTCATAAATTTCCTAATAAAATTGAAGATAAAAAACAGTTACAAATATTTTTAGGAATCTTAACATATGCTTCATACTACTTTCCTAAACTTGCAAAAATAAGAGGCCCTTACAATAACACTTAAGAAATATGTCATTTGGTCATGGTTTGAAAATGATTCTAGCTATATGGCAAAAATAAAAAAAGAACCTAAAGGAGTTTCCACCTCTATATCATCCTAATATAGATGATAAATTCATTATCGAAACTGATGCTTCAAATAATTAGTGGGGAGGAATCCTTAAAGCAATAAATTTGGAGTATCAATCCAAAGAATTAATTTGCAGATACACCTCAGGATCTTTTAAGGATGCTGAAAGAAATTAGCATTCTAATGAAAAAGAATATCTTGTCGTTAAAAGGGTAATCGAAAAGTTTTCAATCTATCTAACACCTGTAAATTTTACAGTAAGAACATATAACAAAAACTTTGCTTATTTTTAAGAAATAGCGTTTCTGGAGATAACAAACAAGGTCAACTAGTTCGATGGCAAATATGGTTTTCCAGATATAGCTTCGAAGTAGAGCGCATTAAAGGAGAAAAGAATATCTTTGTAGACTTCTTAACTCGAGAATTCCAATAGAAAAATTAATTAGGTTTGATATTCTTTTCATACAGGAATCAAAGTCATTCAGCGTTATACCTTGGTGGTCTAACGACCCAAGAGGTTTTAACCTCGGTCCATAATTTGGACTACAGGTACATAGCCTTCCTCAAATGGAGAAAGAACAAGAGCTTATACTCAAACAAGCTCTTATTGAGCAATAATTGGAATTCGTCAGAAACCAATTAAAAATTGTAAGACTATTTATGTCTAACATCAAAAAGAACTTTCTTATCCTTCCTCTCCTATGAGTCAAGAAGAAAATGTAAGTGTTTAAAAGAACATCGAACAACAAGAGATAAATGTTTCACCTCCTTTAAAAAGAAAAGAAATGTTTAGACTTGAGAAAACGGCTCTAGGTAAAGATTCAACAAATTTGTTGAAGGTTGTGGATTTACCAAAAATCCAGACAAGAGTACAAATTCCAATAACGTTGGTTACACCCTTAGACTTTAATCAAAGACCCAACGGGGGAATTCAAATCCCAAAAACTGAAGGTTTATCTTCAGGATCAGGATCACCTGATAAGGGAATTCAAATCCCAAAGGAATTGTTACAAATTCCTAATAAAAATTCAAAACCATAATGCGTTGCATTCAATGGACCCAATGCTGGTATATTTGAAGACCGGAATATCACCAAAAAGACAACAGAAGGAATTAAAAATATTAAACACAAAAAGTTTAATAACTTTCTTGAAGCCAAGATAGCTACAGATCAATACACAAGATTTGAAAGGTGTTCAGAACTACAACTTATTACTACAGCAGAAACCTTAAGAGCTAACACGTTCAAGTTAGCCTTAAATTCTACCAAAAGTTCCAAAATCATTCTTGGAGGCCTTCCAAGAATACTAAAAAAGTCACACCTGACCTCCTAGTAGAAATCAAGATAAAAGACTTTGAGTATTATTAAAGGTATGCTCAAAGTGCAGTAGAAGAAAATTTTGTAGAAGAAAAGTTCTCCACTATTGACGGGAAGAATTTAAGCTACTACAATTTCTACAAAAATGCCAACTCTTTACCATTATATGAAGCATTTCAACTAGGATTGCTAAAAACAATATATCCTAGTCAAAACCAGGAAATAAAGCTTTTCTCTAAAAGCTTTACAAAAGCAATAAAAACTTTCAGAACAAGATGCTGCAAAAAGGATCAAGACATTTTTCTAAAATCCAGTAGTAGCATCCTATACTGGAATGACAAAGATGAATTAAAATATCATCCTCATCATTTAGTACAGATAGGTATATGCAATCAAGAAACCTATCGGCCCAGCAAAACCATGTAAGAAAAGCTTGAAAGAGTTGATATCCTCCAGCTAGCAAAATCTAGAATTGAAATCTTTATCAACAAAGTTTTCAGTTTTTCAGCAGGTGACAAGATCTTTCTCAATGGATATGATGCCAATGAGAAGATCTTAATCTGTAGCAAATATAGCAAAGAGATTTCTCCGACCGATGAACAACTGTTCTTAGCCTTCCAAAACTCCCTGCTAAAGCTAGACTTAATCGACGAACACGTGGCAGATATCTATAAGACGCTCCAAAAAAGAACTAACATGTACAACTTTCAAAGATGCTCAACCATCAATGTTGCCTCCACTACCGAAAATAATAATGGAAAATCTATTATTAAAGAAGATTCCTCGACAATCACCAAATAAGAGAGGACCCTCAAAGATAAACTACTACACAATAATGTAGTTAGTGGATGATTTGGTCTGCAGTGACGTAAAACATTTGTATCATATCCTCTCTATGATTCTATAAATAGAGAGTTATGCTTTCATTTGTAGGCAGAGTAAAAATACAAGAACCTTAAACATTCTATTGAAATCTGCAAATGTGTGAGTAAAACCCCATATAGGGTTTATAGTTTAAAATTGTAAAAACCTTCGGGTTTTAGTTCATTTATAAATAAGAAAAGTTTTCACAATCCATGCTTTGTGCAATAATCTGTATTTTTAAAGTTTGAAGTCTTATTCGTCATTATGATCTAGTACTAACAAGTAACGCCGGTCAAAAGGATGCAGGGAAGAAGGAAAGATCGACACCAAGATTGACGAAAAAATCACAAAGCCTCAAGCACGAGCAAGGTATAAAAACTATCTTTTAATCATTAACAAAACTATCCCGTTAAAGTTTTTCAATTTAGAAAACTATTAACTCTAATAAATTATCTTTAATAAAAAGCAAAAATCTTATAACAACTCAAATGAGTAGTAATAAAATATTAATTAATCAAGAACCTAATAAGTTCTTGATTTCTCAAATAAAAGATTGTGGAATTACTAGTAAACAACATCAAAGAAATTTAAATTATATTAATAATGAAATTTCTTTAATAGATTTAACGCTACAAACGTCTCTACGATATGATTTTAGAAGGCAAATAAATGCTAAAAGTAATAGATTTGCACACATTCATGTACAAAATTCAATAAAAAAGAGTCTTTTGTCTAACAAAGATATTTAACTGAGTTAAAAGATAAGTTTTTAACTTAAATTCATCCGCAAATTGAGTTAAAAGATAAGCTTTTAACAACCAATTCCTGCTAAAGCCAAACTTAATCGGCGAACACGTGGCATACATCTGTAAGACGCTCCACAAAAGCACAAACAAATACAACTATCAAAGATGCTCAACCATCAATGTGGCCTCCACTACCGAAAATAATAATGGCAAAGCTATTATTAAAGAAGATTCATCGACAAACACTAAATAAGAGAGGACCCTTAAAGATAAACTATTACACAATAATGTAGTTAGTGGATGATTTGGTTAGTAGTGACGTAAAACACTTGTATCAGATCCTAGAAGGCAAATAAATGCTAAAAGTAATAGATTTGCACACATTCATGTACAAAATTCAATAAAAAGGAGTCTTTTGTCTAACAAAGATATTTAACTGAGTTAAAAGATAAGTTTTTAACTTAAATTCATCCGCAAATTGAGTTAAAAGATAAGCTTTTAACTACCAATTCCTGCTAAAGCCAAACTTAATCGGCGAACACGTGGCATACATCTGTAAGACGCTCCACAAAAGCACAAACAAATACAACTACCAAAGATGCTCAACCATCAATGTGGCCTCCACTACCGAAAATAATAATGGCAAAGCTAATATTAAAGAAGATTCATCGACAAACACTAAATAAGAGAGGACCCTTAAAGATAAACTATTACACAATAATGTAGTTAGTGGATGATTTGGTCAGTAGTGACGTAAAACACTTGTATCAGATCCTCTCTATGATTCTATAAATAGAGAGTTATGTTTTCATTTTTAAGTTTTGCCTTTCAAAATAGAGGAGAAATTGATAACAATCTTTTATTTGAGAAATCAAGAACTTATTAGGTTCTTGATTAATTAATATTTTATTACTACTCATTTGAGTTGTTATAAGATTTTTGCTTTTTATTAAAGATAATTTATTAGAGTTAATAGTTTTCTAAATTGAAAAACTTTAACGGGATAGTTTTCAAAATGGAGGAGATTGTTATCAATTTCTCCTCTATTTTGAAAGGCAAAACTTAAAAATGAAAACATAACTCTCTATTTATAGAATCATAGAGAGGATCTGATACAAGTGTTTTACGTCACTACTGACCAAATCATCCACTAACTACATTATTGTGTAATAGTTTATCTTTAAGGGTCCTCTCTTATTTGGTGTTTGTCGAGGAATCTTCTTTAATAATAACTTTGTCATTATTATTTTCAGTAGGGCCACATTGATGGTTAGTGTTTTTGTGGAGCGTCTTACAGATATCCATATCTGCCACATGTTCGCCGATTAAGTTTGACGTTAAAAGAAATGGGTTGTTAAGAAGAAATTAAAACATCTTATGAAATTTTATTACTTTTCAAATTAGTAGTTGGACTGTTCATCTATTTTATTGAATATAAACATTAGTTTCTTTTAAATTCTTTAAGTTTGTTAGTGTCAGTGTGTTTCTATCATCTATTCGTCTGTTTAGTTTATTTGTTTCTTATTCAATCTTAGTGTGTTACATGATTTAATCGTTGCTTACCATAAGATTTTTATAGGTATTGCTGTGGATGGCGGTGATACTTAAATGTTGATGAAGATGAAAAGATGGAAAGTAGAATGATTATGAAAGTAGAATGATTTTGTGTTCTCGTAATTGTTAGTTTTTCTATGAACTTTTCATATATTTTTTTCGGTTTGTAAGTTTGGATTTATTGTGTTTTTTTGGAACTTTAATCACACGATAGATTTGGATATATTATGGTTTTTTTGGAACTTCATAGCAATCCTTCCTGTTTCTTTGAATTATTCGTTTGAAAGTACCTATAAATAGTGTGTATTTTTCCAGTGTGGGGGTAATCAAGGAATTCGGAAACAAAAAGCTAAATAAGCAGCCCCATTGACCCATTGACATCGCTACATGATCGACACATTTTTCTAGAAAACCCATGGCTTGTTTGCTAAATTTTTTTAATTTCTACTCTTTTCGCCTTTGTAATACGACTTAATATGAGTTAGTCAAATGATATTTAAGCATATAAAAACAGATAGAAGAAAAAAAACGGACAACCAAATAATAATTTCTTAAACAACTCTCAAAAGTGATAACATAAACCAAAAACAACAGCATAATAGTGTCTACATAACAATAAAACTCCTGTTATGTTCTCAAAATCTATTTCATAATCAACCAAAAAGAGTTGCAAACTCAATAAATATACTTTTAAAATCCTGCAAAAGCTTTCTTCCCAGTGCTACCAGAAGATCCTGCTGGGATCACCTTCAACACATTGAACCTCACAGTCTTTGACAAAGGTCTGAAAAAAACAAACATTAAAACGTTAATTACATCATCCTCCTTCTACTTCAGTTTAAACCTATATAACCAATCTAAAACACAATCTACCCTTTATAACCCTAGATCATGCTATTTTCAAAGTACAAAGCTTTCATAAGAACAAATAAAAATTGAATGAATGAGAAATATAGTTTTAAAGACAGACCTGCATTGCCCAATGGTGACGTGGTCACCTTCCTTCACACGGAAACATGGTGAGATGTGAGCAGGAGTGTTGGAGTGCCTCTTCTCATATCTATATCACAAAAAGAATGTAAACACAAATTAGAATAAAAAAACATCAGTGATTATCGCTAAAATGGTAGAATCGAAGTTGTTACCTTTGGTATTTCTTGATGTAGTGAAAATAGTCCCTTCGAACAATGATGGTCCTCACCATCTTTGCACTGTGGCATGTTCCAGTTAGGATACGGCCTCTGATGGAGACATCACCGGTGAATGGACACTTCTTGTCGATGTAAGTACCTGAAATCAACGACAGATGCAAAAATTTGGTAAATATAAAGTGGTATTGATTCAATTTCATCTCTTTCGTTTCATATTGATCTACGATATATCATACGCCTTTGTATAGATTCAATGATTCTACGATAACAAATAAAATGACGATTTAACATATACGAATTTGGTGAGAATACCTTCGATGGCTTCTCGTGGTGTCTTGAATCCAAGACCAACACTCTTCCAGAATCTGTTACCACCCTTTCCAGGCCTCTTTCCTTTCCCACTTTTCTTCGAGCTAATGAAACATTGCATAGATCAATCAAATTAGATTAAACATTAAACAAAAGTTGGACAAATTAACACAATTCTAGAGGTTTAGGGTTTGTTTCTAACCAGAGAAACACTTTGGGTTGCTTCAAAAACGCCTTCTCGGTCTATGAATAAATGCAGAAGACGAGTAAGAAAACGTAAAATGTTATTATCAAAACAGAGAGTGGAATCTACTAGACTACATACCTGTTCAGCCATTGTTGAGGAGGGAGTGCGAGCTCAGAAACGGCGTACACAAGAGAGAAAATCAGTAAGAAACCCTAGAGAACAAGACGTTGTTTCTTTATTTAAGGATGTGTTAGATGTTGGGTCTGCTGGGCCTTATATTGGGCTGGGCCTAACTCTTGAGCAATATCAAACAATATATTGTTTTATATATCTGGAATATGGAATATTGACGAATAGTCAGATAACCACAACATGTTTTTGCAATAGAAAATCTAAATGTGAGTTTGAAGTGGAAACTTGTCAAGAAAAAAAATATATCATTTATACTTAGGAAGTTATAAAATTTTGGAGTCTCTTATCAATGGTTGAAAATCTTTCATGAATAACATATTGTTAGTACCTCACGATTTAAGTCTTGCTACGTGATGGTTTTAAGAACGATTGTGATAAAAATTGTTGGTGCAATTTATGCTTTTCTCATTTGAGCCTAGATTAATTCCTTAACACAATACATCTTAGTTCATTATATATGCATTTATATGTGAATAATTGGACTTAGAGTATACTCAGATTCTTAAAATCATACAAATTTATAAAGTTAGCATTTTTTCTTGAATTTCATGTATTTGAAACCTTTTTTTTAACTTTCTGAAACCATATTCATTTGAAACCCATTTTTTTTTAACTAATGCAACTTAAAAGTTTTCTTAATTATGATTTAGCACTCAAAAGTTTTTTAACTTATATTATGTTTAATTAGCATTTAGTGAAAAGTTTACTATAAAAAAAGTCAATATTTTGGGAAGACATGCATACAAATCATATACAAATTTCAGAAAGAAAACAAACTTAAAGATTTTTTTGTGTTGAATTGAGGTCTTATAACCACTTTTGAATATATGATATTATATTAGAAGTTTTGATTTGTAAGTTTGTTATACTTTTATATTTTCTTTGTTTTTTTTATTATTGTAATACAACTGTTGTATATTATGGTTTAATCGTTAATATATTGATCATATATTATATAGGATGATGTCTAAAATATTTAATTAAATATTTTAAATATTTATTTTTATTTTGTAATTATACCGTTTCAAAAAGATAATTAATTAAAACTCATATATATGTTATATTTTCCATCTCTCTCTCTCTCTCTCTCTCTATATATATATATATATATATATATATATATATATATATATATATATATATATATAATAGAGGTCAAAACACTTCAATCAAAATTCATTTAAAATCTAATATTTTAAATGTTTTTTAATAATGATTGTAAAAATATCAACATGTGTTAGTTAATTGATTGATTAATAAAAAATATTAATGTTTTGAAACTCCTAACTCTTAAAATTATATTATTTAATTTATTAGTTAACTAAAATATTTTTCCTACATAAAGATAATATTTTTATGTTTGGTTACTCATATTTTTTATGTAATTAGAAAACAAGGTGTACATAGAATGACTACTTCAATTCCACATAGAAATCGATATCACTAGAGAGGTATATTTTCTTTAACCGGTGGTAGGAGATCAAAATACCCTTTTTAATTATTTTTACTAATGCTTAGTAATATCTATTTTATATTCTTATTCACCTTAAATTTTTAGGTACAAATTAAGGAAGATGATTCTTGGCACACCAAACATGACTAAAAACGTAATGCCCAAACATGACTAAAAACGTAAATTTCAACATATTTCAATTTTTCTCAATAATTATTTTAACCACTTAAATGTATTCTTGCGCAACGCACGAGGTTACGCTTAGTATACATATATTTGTAAGGAATATGAATGTATAACATACATGGATACTAATATAAAAGCATAGTTGCATTCAATGAAGAAACCTATAAATTTGATATCAAATCCCAAATTATATCTTTTTGAATAATATATATTCATAGATGAATATACTATTCATATGCAAAGACTTCATATTTACAAATGAATAAACTTTTAAAAGCTAGTGGGCTAAAACTAATTTCAACCTTAAAATATACGAATTTATAATATGTCTAAATGTTATCAATTGTAGTATTCATCTGTGAAGAGTAAGTATTCATAAATTAATAAAGTTCATAAATGATAAAAACTAGACAATATTTCTGAAATGGTCCATGTGCTTTAAAAAATGTATCGCAAATGGTCATTTGAGGAAAATCTTACGTAAATGGTCCTCATGAGAATTTCTTATGTAGATGGTTCTTAAGATTGAAAACTCTTAGGTCTCGTTTAATAATTGCTGACTGGGAAAGTACTAACTAACAAAGGTTTGTTTGGGTAAGAAATCATGACTGAGTAAGAAACCATGTTGTTTAATTACATATCTGACCGATGAAAATTAATCATTTACCCTGCTGCTCTATACAGTAGGCATGTTAATGAGACGGGTTTGGGGCGAATCACCATTGATCCAAACTCTTTTAAAATTTTGAAAACATGATCTGCCCCAATCCGTTAACCCTCAGGCTTTTGAATAATCAAATATGTACCCGTATCTACCGATTCAATGAATACCCAACCCATTAACACGACCATTTTACAATAATAAATTTACATAATTTGATGTGTGCCACAAAGTAATATTTTTCAATAAAAAAGATAAAATGTCTACTAAAACAAGAATTACATTACTAAAACTCAAAATCGAATACAACAAACAATACTTAATACTCAAAATACAATACAATAAAAATTACATTTAATTCGACATCGACATGAATACTTTTTTGTTTCTTTGAGGGTAGCGAATCTTGTGTAGTCACCATAGCCTCTACAGTTTCAGCTAGCATGGACGAACGCCATTCATAAATTATACTTCCTCCAACATTAAATGTAACCTCAGATGCAACAGTGGTTGTTGGAACAACTAAGATGTCTCGTGCAATTTTAGCTAAAGTAGGATGCTTGGCATTATTATCTTTCCACCAATTTAGGATATTAAATGATTCGCTTCTTGGAAAGAGAGGTTCTTCTAAATGTATCTCTAGCTCGGTTTTACATGTAGCAACTACATTCGATTTCATCTCTTACCAAGAATCAAACCCACTTAATTCATCATCATTGGAATGTACGTCATTTGAAAAGACAAACTTCTTGGCTTGATTCTACTTTTGAATGAGATAAATAGTCTTCATAGTCATTAAAGAGATCAAAGACAACATTGCGAACATTTTCAATATATGGAGCAGCAAGAAAAGAATGGATCTTATTGTAGTAATACTCGACCAAACTCATTTTGTACCTAGGATCAA